ATCACACTGAGCCCTGAATTTGTGCTCATATGAGTGGAATGAGCTGTTTCACATACGTGTCACATTCACTGAAACCAGGAGAACCATCAGTATGATCAGTTTATAATCATGCATGTGAGATAGATATAAGACCTTTTGCTTAGTCACGGTTTTTCTGATGATTAATCACATGCCAGTGCCACAACCTCCTGTTATTTTTAGCGCTGTCGATTCAACTAGTTTGTTGTGTTCGTGTGAACTTATCAGTGAAGTGAGGTTATCGAATTCTCTGAACAGTCATTGCGAGCCCTCTTGAAACACCCTCGTCTTTCCTGTTAGACCTAACTGTTCAATAATTTGCTGTAATGGTCAGTTCTCTGACATACGCCTCTCTGGCTGAAGTGCATCAGCCTGAAAGGTATTACCAAGCATGCTTAAAGAATTAAACCCTCTCCAGCTGTGACTCAATGGAAAATTTCTTTTTTCTTTCTAAATGCTCAGCTTCTCCTAATCCATTCTGACAGCTAAGCTCATAGAAGTGGATACGATACCACTGGACAGGTAGACAGCCCAAGGTGAAATATCTTTAAAGTGCCAAAAAGAGGTCAGTCAATGCTGGAAAACATAAAAACATGTCCGTGGCCCAGTAGCACAGACTGGAAGCTCCTGTCTGTGAGCAGGGAAGGTTAAAAGAGTATCTAGAATTTATATCTTCATATCTTTTGTAGAAGGATGTCCTAGCAACAGGATGCAACGCAATTATTTTATTCTATGCCAGGGGTGGGCAACTCCAGGCCTCGAGGGCCGGTGTCCTGCAGGTTTTAAATGTGTCCTTGATGCATCGCAGCTGATTTAAATGGCTAAATTACCTGATCAACATATCTTGAAGTTCTCCAGAGGCCTGGTAATGAACTATTCATCTGATTCAGGTGTGAGATCTAAAACCTGCAGGACACCGGCCCTCGAGGCCTGGAGTTGCCCACCCCTGTCCTAAGCAAACCTAACCCTAATCTAAATGGAAAGAGATCCATAACTTTAATTTCAATAACACCAGGGTATAAAAACAGGACTGGCCATCAAATGTTATTAAAAAAACAAAACACTTTTAAGGTTTTATGAATTTTTAAAGTGATATTTGTCATGGTGAGTGCTGTGTGGGAGGCAGGATGAAGGACCCAATTGCAGGACTCGCAAACAGAAAGTTAAACTTAGGGCGTAGCTAACGCTACATAAAAATTAACTTAACAAAAGCTAACTATAATGTCAAACACAAAAACTAGAATGTAAACTGTACACTGGAGACTAAACTGGGAAACACGAGCTAGGGAATTC